CCAGTATTGCAGCCGCTGAAGCCCTGGACGAGAGACATGGATCTTCTGGCAAACACCACAGCCTCGTCCACTGTCATCACACCTGCCAAACAGAGCCCCCAAATCACCAACAGCTAGTACTGTATGCATTGTCTCAACAACTTGGTAATGAGGTGTAGAAGGCAAGGCGCAAGGCAAACAAAGTTAACTAGACCCCAGGACAGCTTTTTCTTTTCAAGAAGAGCTGCCCTAAACATTCACGAATTCATGAGTAGTTTGGTTAGCAGGAAATTATTTTGGTATTTCAGAAGGCTCTGCCTTACACATCACTGCAAGGTTCAAGACTGGTTTTTTGTTGCACAAAAATAATTAATTTATTGATCGATGGATTATGTATCATGAACGTCTCAGTTACGCAGTCAGCTGACTTGGGTGGCACACCAAAACCATATTGCAACCAGCGAAAAAAAACGAGAATTAATAAGGCCAGTTTTCGCTCTTCGTATTGAGTCAGTTCCTCTCCAGTCACCTACTGCATACCTGGTCTGTTTCTGAGAGTGTGTAAGAGTTGGGTGCTGACACCTCTCACGTGCTGCTGCAGGACTTGTCCGTACACAGCTATCCAGTGTCTGCAGCAACAGAGAGAGAGAGAGAGAGAGAGAGAGAGAAGGGTAAAATTTGGATCCCAAATCTTCACCAATTTTCCTCGTAAATTTCCCGAAAAATTTTACTGTGAAAAATGCGTGTGGGTATGTAAAGTGAAAAGTGATGGTGGTTACTTCCACATGCTATGGGTGGAATTAATTCCGTTAAATTTCGCTCATGAAAATTTGCTGCGTTAGGCTATAATTATACATACGGACCCACTGAAACAGTGTGAGAAGAACGCACTTGTCAATGAGAAAGAGCTGGTCCTTGAGAGACCATGGAGGTTTCTTAGCCACCATTGTCGACCTGCAGGGAGAGGAGGCAGTGAAGAAAGGGGTGCAAATCAAGAGTAGTGGGAAATACTCCTTAAAAGGGGAAAAGAGAAGGGAGAAGGAGAAGGAAGAAGGAGAGGGGGGAAAGAGAAGGGAGAAGGAGAGGGGGGAAAGAGAAGGGAGAAGGAGAAGGAAGAAGGAGAGGGGGGAAAGAGAAGGGAGAAGGAGAGGTTGTTTTCCTCACCACAGATGGTCGAATGCGTTCATCATCTCCTGTTTGAGAGGGATGGAGAGCGCCTCGTGCATGACCGACTCCACTTCCGCTGTGAGCTCGCTGACCTGCCAAAACACACCAACACACACTCTCACACTAGTGAGAACACATCACTGATGGGAGGGGTATTAGGAAGAGAGAGGGAGGGAGGGAGAGGAGAGAGGCTCCAAAAGATACGTACTTCTTTGCTTCTTCTAAGTCCAGTTGAACCTGGAATCATGCCTAAAGACAAAAAAGTCAAGGAGATGTCATTACACAAGGGCTAATTTATTAATGTTACTAAAGATAGAACTAAACAACAGGGCCCAGTGAAAGAGTGTAATTTCCATTTTTAGTAACAATTTCTAAATTTAGCACTTACATACATACTGTCACACTCCCTTTAAGTGACCTTATACATAGAAGATCTCTAGTATAGTGTATTGCAGCTTACCACCAGCTTGCTGCAGTGGTAGAGCAGATACTGGAGTGTATGGAGTATATGGAGTGAAGGGAGTAAGAGGAGGAGAGGCCATGTGCACAGCACCAGGGCGTGGCCAGGGGCGGAGCTTCCCGCTGGTGGTATGTTCAGGGTGAGCGGTACACGCTTGGATGGAGGTTTTGTGGCTGTAGGGGGCGGGGCTTGGGGCGGGGCTTGGACTAGAGCTCTCAGCTCCTTGAAGAGGGTCTGCAAGGAAGAAGAGGAGGAGGAGGGGAGGAGGACAAGAAATAAGGAAATATGGTGTTAGTTTGCATACAGTTCGGTCGGCAGCCTTCACTCCATTCCCCAATGCCTTGCTGCAGAGGTTAATGTCGTTGCTGAAAAGCACCACAATCCCACTGTGCCCTGTGTCGAATAAACATTTTAATCACACGAACAATTGATATGTGTGGGTAAAACCTTGGGTCTTTGTCTGGTAGAGCAGACAGCAGTGGAGAATTCTGTCGTCGTTGTTGGCTATGGACACATTGTTTACCTCTGTCTGGGTCTAAACATAATGCAGCAGAGAGCTAGAGCTAGTCGCGGTTTGTTCTGCACATTGCAGTGTACAGTGGAACCTCCGAACAGGGACACCGTGGGTCCAACAATTTCGTCCCTTGTAGAGAGGGTTCAGAGGTCAAAATAATACACGAAAGCGTTGGCATGGGGTTAAAACAAGTGTCCTTCGTAGAGAGGTCGTCCCTATCTTGGAGGGTCCCTTATCAGAGGTTCCACTGTAAAACAAGGGGCCAACCTCTTCCATTGTCTGGCAGCGAACTCGATGATGGTTGCTGGTGAAACAGGAGAACAGGAGGCGAATGGCTTTTCTGGCTTTCCCCGCCAGACGGTCGTTGCCCCTCGACTTGTGTTTGTCCAGTTCTTGCATTACTATCCACGGTATGACCAGCACCGGCTTTCCAACACCTGGGAGATTGGATGAACGGAGGGAGGGAGGGAGAGAGAAGGAACACCCGGAGAGAGGGACGGGGTGAAGATAGGGTGTGTGAGGAAGGGAGAAGAGAGAGGGGGGACAAAAAAGTTGAAGAAAGTTGAAATTGTCCAATACAGAAGAGTCTGTCAGCAAAATGTGTGTTATAGTGTAAGGAATTGGGCCACAGCTGTGTAATAAGCAACTTTGACTCAACATCACAAGAGAGAAGGAGTAGGACTTCAGCACAAGGCAAGATCCCACCCTCTACCCCCACACCCTGGCACCCACACACCTTTGATTGCATAGTCCTTCAGCTCCTCAAGGAAGTTGAGGTGAGATAGGAGAACATTGGTGTCCAGAACCAGGTACAGCTTGTCCTGTATTGCAGGGAGAAGTGGAGAAGAATTGATGGCTGGAAGAACTAGAACTGGAAGAAGGGAGAGAACGGAAAAGGTACGTAACTCACGCTGTAATCATTGGCATAGTCTGCAGGGATGCCGAAAGACTCGATGTGGAACTGACAGGGGGCAGAGGGGGAGCTGCGAACAAGCTTCATCTCGGCAATGTCCTCCTGAGAGACATCGATGTCCATGGCGACTTCTTCTTCTTCTCCCCACCTCTCAACTTCCATCGCCTCCTCCATGTCTGCTGCCACACACAGACCCTCACTCTCTTGAACACCTCTCTCTCCCTCTCTCTCAGACTTACCAGTAGCTCTATCCATGGCTTCCTTGGCAGCTGCTTGCTTCACCTGACAACAAGGTGAAAGGTGCATAATTATACAGTGGAACCCCTCTCTAAGGACACCTCCGAAAATGAGGACACCTTTCTAACTTGAGTGTAAAAAAACACTTTCTCTACTGTCCCAGGGTTTCAGGATTAGAGGGTTTCCTCTACATAATCCCAGGTTGCTATTGTAGTTCATAGTGGTGGGTGATTGTCCATTACTGTTGTAGCAAAGCAGAACATTCCAGAGATACAGGTGTCACGTTTGTTGCTGTAATTATACATACACGGAAAGTGGCCCTACCCAAGTGCGTTTCTCTGTAGTTCTGTTTCGCCCGGAGACCGTCGTTACGCTGCCGACTCCGTGTTCTTTGTTGGCCTTCTGGAGGTTCTTCTTGCCGCCTGCAGACCCGTTTTCGTCTGCGGTCGGCGCCGGCTGGCTCCAGGCATCCTGCAGCGGCTGCTCGCTGCTCCTCACATCAGCTACTTCACCGCCTCGCTGCAAGAAAACAACGGGTAAAAATATACACTCGCCACGTGCCCGAAAATGCCTCACGTTTTTGTTGACTCGCTCCTTCCGCGGGAGGGAGGGGATTACTGTTCCGTCGAACCCGGGCGGCGGATCCCACGTGCTAGCTCTCGTCTCCCTGTTGAAGTAGTAGTAGCGGCCCGGGTGGCTGCTGCTCTTGGCGCGGACCCACGGCGACTTCTTCGACATGTTGGCTAGCTCACTCCCAGGAGAAGAAGACGTGCCCTACGTCCGCGTACGTGCGTGCTGCATGCAAAATGCTCCGTTGACGTCGTCATGCTGCAACTTGCAAACATGTGCACGTGGGTGAGCTACTGCGCATGCTCGGACATTTTCCACATGCGAGCTCCACCCCTTTCCTTGATTGCACCTTCGGCGACGGGGGCACCTGCTGACCAGTTGCACACTCCATGGTCCAGAGCTCCGGACGATGGCGATCCGTCCCGCTACCATTCTGCCGTTTCTGAAAGGAACGAGGCCCTACGCACTGTACGTGCTCGTCGTTCTGATGCTGGTCTTCACGCTGAACCAGAATGATCGCTTTCTTCTGGGGGCGACAGGCGACGCCGTTGTAAAGGCGCTGCACTTCGGGGACTTTTCCTGCACGACCAACAAGACCAACGTCTCCAGCTCGGGATCCTGCGACAGCTCCTGTGCGAAACTAAAAACACGGAGCGAGTGAGGCACCACCCTTATGTACAGTAGCTCAATATGGTGACTTACAGAGATCACATTGTTGCTAGACAAGCAAACTTGCTAGCTCAGTCCTCCAGAGCTCCTTTCTCTCACCTCCCTATAGTTGCGAAGAGAGTGAGGATGCAGTGGACTGTGTCTGGGACCACACTCCACTGGGTCTTAAATACGAGCTCCTAGCAGGACCGCTATTCACGTTCATCTTCACGCTGGTAACCATCCCCATTGGGATCCTGGCCAGCAGCAGATGGGTGAACCGGAGAATAACTCTGGCCCTCTCCGTGGTTCTGTGGAGTGGCATGACTCTCGCTACCGGCTTCACTCGTCAGTACTGGCAGTTTCTGCTCACTCGCATTGGACTTGGACTCTTGTGAGTATTATATATACAGCGGAACCCACTACTCCAGACACCAATGAGACAGACAGAAGAAAATGTCCATAACGAAAGAAAATGTCCATGTTACTGATGTGTCCTTATTTCCGGGGGAGAAATTGCGTGCAAGAATCCATTCCTGGCAAAAGAAAAGGTTTCCTTATTAGAAAGGTGTCCTCATTTCAGAGGTGTCCTCAGAGAGGGGTTCCTCAGCTACTGTTGTTGGTTGGTAAAATAAAGCCCTGTGCAATGGTATATCATTGACTATGCTTTTCCTTTTTCCCCATAGTGAAGCTGTGTGTACTCCGTTTGCAGCTAGCATCATATCTGACTACTTTCAAGAGGTTATAACTACATACATATTTTTCCTACCATAAACATAACAGGCTCATACAACATCCTTGGCAGTTTATGTTTGATACGCAAAAGCAAACGGACTTATCTTCACTTTCAGTATGTTTTTTAAACAGGGGAATTTCGTCCTCTGAGCATTCCCTTTTCCCCCAAACTGTGTTGTTGTTGATGTCTAGTTAAGCATACCATAGTGTGGCATCTGGTGTACCTACTGCATCAAATGTGGGTTTTACAGTGGAACCCCTCTCTAGGGCCGTCCCTGAAATAAGAACACCTCTCTAATAAAGACACCTTTATTTTTTTCGCAATGTCACCCCTGAAACGAGGACACCTCAGTAATGAGGACACTTCTTTCCCCCATAGCAGTTTCTTATAACCCAGGACACCTGTTCCTTTCCCAATAGCAGTTTCTTGCACGCCAGTACACTTTCTTTCATCCGACTGGTGTCCGGATTAGGAGGTTCCACTGGTGGTTTTTGTTGTTGCAGAAGTTCCGTGGTACTGCACTGGGTCTCTACAACTGGGGCATCTATCTCGGCTACAGCATGGCCTTTGGGTTCAGCTTTGTCCTGAACGCAGAGTCGCTGGGCTGGAGGTGGGTGTTCATCATCGCTTCTCTCCCCGGTTTCGCCGTGGCTCTGCTCATGCTGCTCACCGTCAGGGAACCTGCCAGACACGCCCATGACCAGGTAAAACTTCGCCTGTTTTCTGTATCTGTTTCCATCCTTACGTATATAGTGTGATTTTGTTTTCATATCACTTACTACAAGCCATACCAAGATTCTTTATCCACGAGTTTTTTTTAATGCTGAATTGTTTTCTCCTTTGCTTGGTCCTTCAATGTTTTCATTGATGTATGCTGCAGTCGTTGGTGGTGTCAGTTCGAGGGAAATCCCTCATCAAAAAGGTGCTTCAGGCCTACACGAACCCTGCACTGCTCACCTTGTGCGTGGCTGGAGGAGTGCGTCTCGGGGCCGGGCTGGTGTGGGCGTACAACGTGAAGACCTACTTCAGCCAGATGCACTGCGAGGGGGTCAACGTGGGCGTGTACCTGTCGTGGGTTCCTCTTGTGGGCGGGACTCTCGGGGCTCTGCTGGGCGGGATCTTATCCGACAGCCTCGCCAGATTCAGTGGGTACAAAGGTCGGATGTGGGTCCTCATTCTAAGCCAGGTATATTTAAGAAAACCTCCGTAATACTCTAAAAGGAAGTTTCTGACCTTTCTCCGTTTCAGATTTTCGCAGCGCCATTCCTGGTTGGCACTCTCTTCCTTCGCTCCATTCCCTTGGCATTTATGAGTCTCATCCCAGCCTACATCATAGGAGAGGCTTGGCTGGGCATCTGTCTGACTGTGGCCATCGAGTTGGTCTCCCCCGAGGTGTCTCCAGCCTCCATCTCCCTCTTCCTCTTCATCTCCAACAACATCAGCAGCGTCATGCCTCTCCTACTGCCGCTACTGAAAGACTACTACGGTCTACAGAGAGCTATGCTTATTCTTTTTCCCGGACTCTATGTTATATCAGCTACCCTATTCTCCGTGTCCCTCTGCCTACTGATAGCCCGCGATCTGTGTCAGAAGAGAGACGATGTAAAGTTGAAATCTCCGAGACATGTGCGACAAGCGTCTAGAGAGCGAAAGAGGAGGAAAGGAAAGGAGCGACTGTTTGAAAAGACACCGCTGCTCAGTGAGAAAGACCCCAGTTTACAAGGAGACTCCGATTCCTCTGACTCATCCGATTGTGGGATTTTCGAAGAGATCGACGAACGGGAACAGAAAGAGGCTCAGAAAGCAGTGAGTTTCTCAGCGGACAGTCACGGGAGACCCGTTGTCGTGGCTGCCAGTGTAAATGACAGGGACAACACGAGAGAGGGGGGATGGGAGAAGGCGAGGGTGCCAGGGGTGGTACCAGCTAGAGGTGGTGCCAGCGTTAGTGTAATGTCGGCCCCACCGAGGGTCCAGAAAAGAGGCAGAGTGGAGAGAGGGAGAAGGGGGAGAGTGAGAGGCTACGGTGCAGTTGACGTCCCCTCAAATTCATCATCAGCAAGTGGTGCGCTGTGTGTGAGTGATAAACAGCCGGCACCAGTTGTGGGTAGCATTTCCGAGTGGTCAATGATGTCTCCTTCCGAGGAAGAGAAACGCTGGTTGGCCGAATCACAAGAAGGAATATGACACCATTTATATATTAGTCTCTGCTCTACTTTGGGGTTCAATTTTTATCATCATTCCTCACAAACTTCCTATCACAGTTATGTTATCTATATACACGTGGAGTGAATATTCCGTTGTTAATTCTTGACCCCATCTATACGACTTCTGTGTCACTGTGCTGGTAGGGTGGTGACGATACAGCAATGATCTTTAGCTCTGTACTGCCCGAGGAGTTGTTGGTTATTCCGTGCTCAGAGCCAGGGTCAATGCACACAGTGTCACCAGCCTGAACCATGAATTGTCCGGCCCTCCCAGCTCCATCAGCCCACTTCCTGCCGTGATGTGGTATATCTCCTCCGACTTGTGGTGTCTGCACGAAAAGTGTGTACAATGGAATCCCTCTCTAGGATGACCCTGAAAGTAGGACAACTCTCTAGCTAATAAGGACATCTTTTCTGTCCCCAACAGAAAAATCAACCCCATAAAATAGAGACACCGCACTAATACGGACACTTTCTGCTATCCTATCGGTGTCCGGATTAGAAGGATTTCACATTCTATAAGCTTGAGGTTCCTCCCACAGCAGTACTTGTGCAGTAGGGTCGTTTGTCCAGGCGCCACTATGCACTCCGCGACGCTCGTGTTGGAGTTCCCGTGAACGTTTGGGTGCATCAGCTCCCGGACGACAGAGCCGTCCTTGGTCACGAAGGCCTCGACGTCCGCACGACGCGTGTGCTCTCTGGCCTCCTCCTCCACCCCCTTCGCTTCCATTATTGCCGCGTCAGCACAAAACCTTTGGCCGAACTTTGAACCCTTCCGCGGCGACTGTTCGCCCACTCAGTTTCAGTCGGGTTGAGGAAGGAGGAGGAGCAGGATAAGCGGCAAGTATGTCTTCCGTAATTCAGCGGCAACAACTCGTGAGTGCGTTTGTGTGTAGTTTATGCTGTTTCACGAAAGACCGAGTAACGTAATGCCATATTCATACCACTAGCGCCGTGACGTATAGTAGATACATGGCTGCGTGTCGGCCTCGGCTAGTCGACTGCCTACCCCGCCATCGCTCGCTGTCTGTAATGCTGCAGGAGGACCACCAGGCGGACGTCCGGTTCTTCAGTCCCCCGCCCAGTCCTCTCAAGAACTCGGTACTAGAGCCGGAGACTTTCGCCAGGTCGCCGTTCATCATCGGAGTGGCTGGCGGGACATCCTCGGGGAAGGTGGGGCACGTATATACGCTGCATAATGAATGAGTACACTTCGTTGTAGCTACAGAGTGTTTTCGCTCCTTTTATTATACTGGCTTCAACAAGGAATTGTATATATTGCACGGGGACATGCAGTTGACATGTAGCTAGCTAGTTGACTTGTTTGTTGTGCCTTTGCCTTTCTTCCTGTAGTTGACACATGCATGAATCGCTCTGCAAAGTCTTAAGAAACGGTGAAAGAGGGAGGAGAAACAATAAATTGAGAATTTAGAAGATACGAGACAAATGACTACAGACACACTTATAGATATACATGGGCACTGAATAGTGTGTGAGTTGAAGTGTTGTGCGTCTTGCAGACCTCGGTATGTCGGGACATCGTGAACCAGCTGGGAGAGATAGTGGTCAACACTCAGATGAGGAGGGCTGTGATGGTGAGCCAGGACTCTTTTTACCGCGAGCTCAACACCGGAGAGAGGGCCTTAGCCGAACGTGGACAGTTCAACTTTGACCATCCTGGTTAGGAGTGCTGCAGGATGAAACACTTTCACCTCAACTTTTGTGACTGTGTAACAGTACATACATTTATTGAACCACAAAAGGTTGTTGCTGTGGTCTTGAAAACCTTTTGTCAACAGCAATTCGGGTGAAGTGTATTCGTTCCAAACGTTTTTCAGTATATACAGTGACTGTATGCGGGTGGTTACCCTATACTTTTCACATGTAATTATAAAAACACTCTTTGTTTAGTGCTTTCGTTTGTGCCCACAATGTGTTGTCTCACTGGACCCACCGTACATTCTTACCACCAGATGCATTTGACACTGAGCTGATGAAGCAGACATTCATGGAGATTGTGGAGGGTAAAGTGGTGAAGATTCCAGTCTACGACTTCAAGACCAGCTCCAGGTATACCTATGATATTATACTACGTGGTATACCTATTACAGTAACTCCTGCTATATAGCATAGAGTACATTAGCATCGAGGATACTTCTGAAACACCTTTACCTTTTACTCTTTGCTTGTGCTCATGGCATTTTGTACAACAGCGAGACCCCGTTGTAAAGGTATAATGGTGCATTTGTTTTGCCTTAGTGTTTTGCACATACAATCACTGACACTATAGCACATACAGCAGCAGTGTATGTATATATGTATGTACTATAATTATACTAATTTGCATGCAACATTATATACCACAGCAGCTCAGAGGTGCGTACAATTGAATCTACTGACGTGATTCTATTTGAGGGAATTCTCGTTCTCTACGATCGCGAAATGAGAGACTTGATGCACATGAAACTATTCGTCGACACAGACAGCGACACACGTCTAGCAAGAAGAGGTAAAACCCTCTCATTATTGGCCGCCGTGATGGATCTGTGAAGTATATACATATTGTACAGTTGTAAGGGACATCAGAGAGAGAGGGCGTAACCTGGATCAGGTTTTGGACCAGTACACGAATCTGGTCAAACCTGCTTTTGAGGAATTTACTCTCCCGGTGTGTTTCTGGAGACCTCATTGTTGTGAGGTGCTGATTTTGGTAATGTGTGTGTGTTTCTTGCAGACAAAGAAGTATGCAGACATCATAATCCCCAGAGGATCGGAGAATATAGGTTAGAGGAAATGATTTGTACGGTGGAACCCCTCTCTAATGACACCCCTGAAATGAAGACACCTCCCTAATTCTTTCCCCGATTAACAACTAAACCCCTGAAATAAGGAGACCGTTGTAATATGGTGTCCCGGATTAGTAATACGGACACTTCCTCCTGTCCCATTGGTGTCCCGGATTAGACACCTTAGTAATACGGACACTTTCTCCTGTCCCATTGGTGTCCCGGATTAGACACCTTAGTAATACGGACACTTTCTCCTGTCCCATATCTGTCCCGGATTAGACACCGAACTCTTTCTCTTGGTGTCCCGGATTTGAGGGATTCCACTGTAAATATCTCTCTGCAGTGGCCATAAATGTGATAGTTCAGCACATCAGGGATATCCTAATGGGAAACATCAGCTACAGAGACCCCATCAGGTGGCGCAGAAAGCCACGAACCCGAAGACAGTCGGACTCTGCCTTTCTTGTCAGACCACACTGATCACTTGTTTTTTTATACCGCGCGCCGCAGTTGTTTCAATGCGCATGCGCGCAAGTATTCGGTAGGACTTTGACCTTTACACGTGTGGCGCGCGATCTTGTTTACGGTGAAATTTCTTGTTGTGATCGCCATCGTTCTGCTGTCTTGCTCCACGCAGAGAGAGTCATTGTAAGTACTGCAGACTGCACCCAATGGAGCGATTAGTGGCCAGTAAACCGAGGAGGACGCGGATTTGTGCAAACTTCGAAAAACCTGCCGCGCAGCTGCCTCGCCGCGGGAGAGGGTACGCCGTGAGAGGCGAACGGCGGACGCAGAACGTTCCCCAAGCCTGTGGGAGAGAAGCCTCGTTGACCAGTGGGAGCGTTCCGTACAGGGATGAGGTGTCTGGGAATGGTGCTAGAAGAGGGAGGAGAGGGAGTTCTGCGAGTGTGGGGAGAGGGCGTGGGGTGAGGGAGAGGACGCCAACATGGGGTGGGGTACAAATGGGGAGAGGGAGGAACGTGGAGACAGAGCAGGGTGTTGGAAGAGGGCCGATTCAGCACCCGGCCAGCAGAAAACCGGTGAAGAGAGAAGAGGACAGAGCTAGAGAAACAGACAGTGCAGAGTTGGTCGACAGTCGTGTCGAGAGACTGGGCCGCTACTTATCAAACAGACTCAACATGGACTCTGATTCCGACGATGAAATTGGTGGGTTTATGTTGGGTGAGGACGACGGTGCGGCACTCATCGATGTTTCTTCGGGGGACTGCGTCACAGACCTATTACCCAGGCTCCCTGCAACGGCTGTGAAGGCCCACTTCACGTCTTTGAAAACAGACGTTGCAGTGTATTGTACTGCGGAGTCTAGCGCTGGAGGGGTTGGCAGGGGGGAAGCAGCTAGTGCTTCAAGGAGTCCTGATTTTGATGATGCCAGTGTCCAATTTGGGGATGGGACAGGCCTGTTTGAATACGACTGTTCTGATCTGACAGTGAAGAACCACGGGCCAGTCGGAGGAGGAGAAACGGAGAAGAGGGGAGTTTCGGTTGGAAGAAGAGTTGAATTGGTGTCAGAAGACGATGGGTGGAATTCCGAGGACAGTGATTTTTGTTCAAACTTTCCGTCTCACCCAGGTATACCAGTATTCCGTTTTTTACAGTGCAGTATGTATACTGTGGCAAGGAAAATTTTCACCATTTCTATCTTTGCTGCACAATGTGGCGCAATATCGTTAGGAAATGAGGCCCCATAACACAGTTTGAGGACCAACTGAGTATTGTTTCCCAGGACCTCCTGTATAGTGTCAGTCTGTGATGTTCTCAGATTGAAATGGCCATTTCTTTGTAGAGGAGCATTAAGAATGGTGCCCCCAAGGGTGTCTCTTATTCACAGCAATACTGACTCTCTCTGTTTCTGCATACACACACACACACACACATCAGCCGTGGAAACCCCAAACCTCCCGTCGTACGCGATGTACGAAGACGACGTTTGGGTGGACGAGGTGAAAGCAGTGTTTGCTAAACACAAGAAAGACGACAGCAAAGAGCTTCGGGAACTCCTGGCGGAAATGTTCTCCATCCACACCGACGTGTACGCTCTCATCCTGGCGTTTGTGAGACGAGCGGGGAGGACACGACACCCGCCAAAGTCGCCAGCCAGATTAGCTCTTGCGCAATTCAAGAGGTGGCTGAAGGAGAGGGAGATGGGTCAGGGGAAGGAAAACCAGTCCAAAGAAACACTTCAGAAGTAAGAGAGAGAGAGAGATTATGCAGTATTGTGTAATCACCACGGGAGGCATCCTAATAATCTCGTCACTTTGATGCAACTGGTATAAAAAACTTATGCACGGTGATTTTTTGCAGTGCAGTTTACTGCAAGAATTTAAGTGTGTGTGGTTCCATTTCTTCTGGAAATGCTCAGATGAATTATGTATACCTCCGTCTTCTCCTACTCCTCCTTGTCTTCCTCTCTTTTCTCCCCTCTTTCACCATATCTTCTCCCTCCCTCCCTCCTTCCCTCTGCTCCTCCCTCCCTCCGCTCCTCCCTCTCTCCTCCCTCCCAGTCCTCCAGTACTGCGCGAGTCCCACCAGGAAGAAGTCCTGTCACTCATGACCGACACTCATCTGAACATGATGGACGAGCTCTGCCAGGTATTCAGACTCCGCTCCGCTGACACGGACCTCCTCATCGATCTGGTCCACAGACTACTGGCAGAAGATAAGATGAAAGAGGTCAGAGGTCGTGCGAGCATTACTTAGCGAGCAAAGTAATACTGCTATATAGTACGAGTGCTGGTTTTGCACATACTGCTGCTCTGCAGGCTGTGACGTACGCGTGGACGTTTCGTATCCAGTCTCACTTCGGTCTGGAGGAGATGCTCCTGCCTCTCATTGCCATGGACAAAATCAATCTCATTGAAAAGTTGGTGTAGACAACCACTGCTATATAGAATGTCAGTGGTGATTATAAACGTAGCATAAATGTATAAAGGGTCATTGCTACGTTTGGGGATTTATATATATATACACCTGCCAAAATGCAAGTGGTATTGATGATGGTCAAATTTCCCATTTCTTCAGTTACATTGAAGGAGACCAGTGTCTCCAGGAAGACTTTGTGAGGTTACTGGACAGACTCTGCCAGTCTGGAGGCCTGGCCAGGTGGGGAGTAGTCATGTGACACTGGAACAGTAGTCATGTGACCATCTTATTATATGCACTAGAGCACAAGTCAGTGACTGCTATGTGACTGATCTTGTTACAGTAGATCAGCAGTCATGTGACGTTATTCCCCTCCTCCCTCCAGTTGTGCTAAGAGGCTGGGTCTGGAGGTAAACACCTCCAACAGCAAGTTGTGCACCAAACACCTGTTTAAGCTGGCACTGCGGCTGGTGAAGATGTTCAACCTACAGCTGGGTGAGAGAGCCTTCCGTCTTCCAGAATACCCCATACTTGTATGTGGTGCTACCATGACTACATGATCTTTCTCTTCTCCTCCCCGATGGACTGATTCTTCAAAGTGCATCTTTTCCCTTCCTACCGCGTAGTTGACACGTATACCTTACCAATGAATATTGTTATAGATTACGTAATGAGTTCATTCATAGTCGACCTCATTGAGTGTGGATGCTTCGCATACCATGTAACACACTAGAAATGTTTCCGGGGCTGGCATCTCAGAGGCTGTGCGTCTGTCTCCACCATCTCCTCCGAATGAAATACATTGACGGAACCATCACCACGGGAAACATGGCTGACTTGGTCGGAGCAGCTGCCAGGTATGTATATGACGAACAATAACCAAAACGCAAACGTAGAAATGCTAGCTTCTTGTCCAAAACATAGCGTGTAAAAGTGTAGACCAGCATGCAATATTGAAACCCTGAAACGAGGGCACCTCACTAATTCATTGCTGTCCAGATTAGAGGGGTTCCACTTATTACACACAAATCTCTTTACAATATGCATTATAGCACAAAGCTCATTCTTACGTAAAGTTATGTGAATGTTGTTATACGTCCTCAACTACAACAGCCATCAACCATCACCAGTTGAATGTATGTTCCTTGGCGTGCCTGCACAGGTCTCACCCAGGCCTCCCGCAGCTGTTGGTGAGAGAGCTCGTCAGACTCGGAGAGAGCCAAGCAGCTGCCCACTGGGCCGTTGAGTACCACATACCGACCCACACTCTCCCTCTCGAGGTCCAGATACTCGTCATGACCAGTGGCACTAGGTACAACGATTTCGCATTTTTTGTAGGAACAAGAGTAGAAAAAGAGACAAACCAACTATCCTTAATACTTTGACTAATGTTGGAGTATGGAATGGTGACATCTTCTAACTTGCTGCACCAATCCCAATCTCGCCCAAATTTCGCTGTCCTTCCCTTAATAAAGGTGTCAACGATTTCGCATTTGTTGTAGGAACAAGAGTAGAAAA